GACTATTGTGCCGTATTTTCAGGTCTTGGCTTTCCTTTCCAGGTGGCACGGAAGATGTTAATCTTTTCGTTGCACGATATCGTTTAGCAATAATCGTCGGCATTTCAAGTGCATTTCTTTCGTGATTCCTGTTCTTTTATTCGGAGGGTTGACGGAAAACATTTCGCCGTGCTTTGACGCGAGCGATGGCTGCATGAATAGGTTTTGGATGTAGCGTCTTTATCACGAACTAGCAGTTTTTAAAGGCACAAAATGTCGGTTAACCCGTTATAGTCATTTTCACGATCATTTCTGGGTTCGTGTCATTTCCTCGCGGTTTTTTACCATTTTGAATGACCGGTATCGTAAACCTTTGCTGCACTATTCAGGCTTTGTCAAACTCAGCCTATAATAACAACAACAAGAGGCCCTCAGCTTAAAGGAAATACTCTCCAGATTGTTGTACGCGCAGCATTCCGTACATTGGTTCAGTCGTTAGCCGCCTTCAAACATGCTGGCTTTGAAATTGAATTGGTACAAGGATATGTAATATATAATAATTGGTGTTGCGGTGTTATACTACAATGACAGCGGTAATTGTTATAGTTATATGGACTGCAGCTAAATATGGTAATTATATTCAAAATTATAATTTCTGCAGTTGTTTAAAACAGCATAATATTTTTACTCAGATTGGGTATACTGTGCCTTAATTTATATGCGATGCCCACACGGAAAGGTACGGGCCTCTTAGTATTTTCCGGGGTATGTCGAAACCGATTTTGATGTGACTTTTGTTGTGCATTATTCATGGTCACAGTTCTGTTTTTAGATGGATCCGAGTTATGGCCGTTCTTTGCTACGTTGTCGCTGTTTGTTTTCCGGCTCTATTGCTGTCAGTGTACTACGTCGCCTTCTGGAACCCGCGATATATTGAGAAGGTGAGGCTGTGTGTTGGTTTTTTAATGCTTTCAGTGGATAGTTTTTGATTGCATTCAAGTACATTGTAAAATTCAGAATATATGAAGTTTTTCGAACTTTTCTTTCAATCTTTTGAAATCGGAACAGCAGAACGTTAACATCTGTTCAGTAGCTTGTGCATCATCACGTTATTTACTGCAGTTTGGATGAAATTCATTTCTATAATGTTCATGATATATGGCCATTGATTTTGTATTTCCAGGAGGATAGATTTTAGCAGATGCGGTAGCCATGAAATCACCTCCATCATATATGGTCGTTTTATGTTATGGTTGCTTTTTAAATTCTAAGAGAGATTCAGAAAAGACGATATTTTCACAGCGTCAATAGCAGATTGACCTGCCTCTTTACTGGGTGATGCCATAAGGCCCCTTTTCTGCGAAACTCGAAAATGGTTCAGAATACTTTCTTCTGGGTATCCAATGCTGTAAATCTAGTTAATTCAAAACTGTTTATTCCAAATTTAAAGCCGAAAAGACTAACTTCAGAAATAAGTAATTCGTAAATCGAAAATATCAAGCCCCTTACCCATGATATCAACACATTGGTTCTGAACAGTTCTAAAATATATGAAATACAGTTTAACTGTCCATTTTTTAAGGCAAATAATATTGAAGATGGCATAATTGTCCTCTCTTTTATTTACTTTCTTTTAATCCTAGTAAATTCTAGAATTTGTTTCCTTTTTACTTAATATAGCAATTGAAAAATTACATACAATTGTCACTTGTTATGTTGTTTCTGATGATTACCAGTTAACGCTGATTCTTTGCAGTTTCCGACTAATCAGA